CGCACAATCCGGTTTTCGGGTATGTCGTGATTCCATAATTCATATTGCTAAGTACCATCAGGAAAGTTAGAAAGTTGATTGACATTATAAGCTCAGCTAGTAGATTATGTATTCGTAATCAACTTTCTTTTCATAGTAATTGAGGAAATATAATCAGACAATGAAAATGACATTTCAATAGAATCTTTTACAGAGTTCTCAATGATGTTATGAGGATGATTCTAAAGTTGCTAAGCATTTTCCATTCGCATCTTAGAGAACATGAACTGAAACCTAAAATAATCAACACGCAGCTATAAGGTAAAATATCCAAGTGTGCCCATTGAACCTCTTACTCAGATTCATCCTGAAGCCTACCGGTTTATGCTTCTATCCTAACTAAAATTGACCACTAAACAATAAAATCCTGATTAATATCGACAAAATAGCTTATGAGCAATGTCTTATTACCTGCAACAACAACAACTGTGAGCACATCTCCGATCTTTTTCAGTCTATGCACACCTTTTTTATGAGACTTGAATCTCTTCAAAGCAGCATCTTCAGCCAAGAGCTACAACAAGATTTCGATTATGCAAACACAAACTCGTCAATTATCGATTGACAATGTCATGAAACAGTAATAAGAACACAACAACAACTCAAACTCTGAGAACATTCTTCTCTCAAATGAATTCAAACTAGCAAACATCACATTAGAGTAGGTCTGATGAAAACCAAATCTTCCAGGAACCCTATCTGTTGCATTTCATCAAATTCTCAAATCTTTCCGAAACATTTAGAAATCCCAACAAAATCGAGTCGAAATGATCCAGTACTCGATCAAATCGTAAATCTAAGCCAATTTTCAGATTCCAAATGTTCATAAAGAACCCCTAATCTTACCCTAGCTTCTCCAAAACAAGCAAAAGAGGAACAGTGAAATGTAAATGAAAACCCTAAATAACCAAATCAGAGATGCTTACAGCTTTCTCACGAGTTCCTGGCTCGACGTGGAATCCACGACGAGATAGCGATAACGCATCACCCGTCTTCTGCGAAAATTTCAAAGGGAAATTGTCACACAGATCCAACGAAAATCCAAGAGTAAATCAATTAACAAGATGATTCGATCGATCCAAACCTGTGAAGAAGAAGAAGAACGTAAATGAGATGAAATTGAAGCGTTGTTGAACAAAAACGCCATGCCCAGAGCCCAGAGGAATGAGTTTCAAAGATCAAAGATGCAACTCGCAAATGACGACGCACAAGGAAACAGAGAAAATAAAACCTTCTCTTCAGTTTCCAATATGAGCTGTATACTTTAGTGTTATTCCATTTTGACCCCAAAACTATTTTATTAACATTCACCACACCCTTCTTTGACTCTATTTCTGAAATTCTTATTATCAAATCAGAGTACTTTGAATCCAGAAGATGCATTCGATTCCAATATATGTAACTGCAATTTGGTGCTTGAATATAATTCTGAACACAAAGATTGATTATAAAAGACTCTGTTTTTGAAGCCTTCAACAAAAAAGAAGCTTTCCTAACATATTCACATCTTCAACACAAAGATGGGAAAGAGCAAACAAAGAAGAAGAAAGAAAACACTTCGTAACGCCTCTGGACGATCGGAAACCCGAGATTCGCAAGCTTTCCCCGAGTATGTAATATATACACGAATCTGTCCAGGGCGAGTCGTTTTTCTTTGTACTAAAACTCACTTCAAATTTTTCCTAACTGTAACATTCTTGAAAACAGAGAGCCATTTCGACACACTGAAAAGCTTTGTCCATCTTCTGCTGTGAGCCTTACCGACCGTAACATTTTTCTGTGACATGAAACCGTCAAACGCACTCTGGAAATCGGATTGCGGTTCTTCTAAGCCTAGAATCTGAGAGCAGTTCCAGAGATTGAAGTCTTCGTATAAACCTTGTGGAGTAACTTCCATGTCAACATCATCACTGTACTGGCCACTACATTCCGCTGTGTTGTGAAGATTTGGCGCAAAACCATAACCGTCCAAGCTGGTCAAACTAAGACCGGAATAATCAATCCCGACACTGCTTTGAGAAGCTGGGACATTGAGAAAGTTCCTCATCATGGAAATCTCATCATCATACGAGATTACTTCTTCGGGATGACTCAATGCAGCAATAACCATCTCCTCGGCTTGAGCCTGAATCAGAAACAATCAAAAGTTATGAAGACCTGAACATTATATAGAAGAGATCAAACCAAGTCAAATCTGT